GTTTATATATATACTTTGTGTGTATACATGTATTTCTAGGCTTTCTCAGATCTGAGAAAGCCTAGATGTATATACATCTAACTGAAAACCTGGCAAAACTGAAGTAAATCCGGCGATCTCGCAGATATCGGTTTAAATGGACTCCGCTGTATTGATTTAAAAGGGCATTTCTCTAGTCTAAGGTCGAAGCGTCACTCCCAACTAAACTATTACCGTACACTCAGCCACCCTCTTCTTTCTGTTTTGTGCCTTTGTATCCACCCAGAGAGGCTACGTAGGCATGCCGCTCAGATACTCCTCCTGTCACGTCGTCGATTTCCTGTGGGAACTGGAGTTCATAATTAACGATATTGCGGCTTCTGTAGCTGACAAAGAGGAGGAACGGCGGACACAAGGCTGTCCAGCTGACCAGCTGGCAGAAAAACCTCAAACGAACGAAAGGTACAAAAGCCCGAATGACTAAATTATATGACATCTTCCGACACTTGATTATCCGGTATTATATTCCTGTGTGAAATCAAAATTTGGACTTATGCCCCATTTCCAATACATTTACAGCGAGGGAAAGAATCCTTTAAGTAACTCGTTTAAAATGAGTTAACACTCAAACCAAATCTATGTCATCAAAGGGTCATTTACTGTTTCATTCTACAACAGTTTTCTCAGCCCTATACGTGGACACAAATAAACAATATGAATGGGATAGACATATACTTTCTGTTTTTTAAATAAGCTTTTGTATTATTAGGCTATGGGTTCATGATACACAGATATCGCAAATATTGTCTTTATTTCATCAAATCAAGCTCGTTCACCTGTCGGTTTTATTCCTGATTCAGAAACATGGCATGGATCAGTAGTGGTAAAAAAAGGCGACAGCTCTCCCCGGTTACGCTGCTTTTCAAATATGTATTGCTATTTCTTTGAGCAACAACACTATGCAGCCACTGCTGCCAGTTTCACACTTTGACAGGAAGAAATCGATTTGTGCGTTGTATTTTCATAGACGTTTGTAGTTTAATAACGAAAAACAAAGTTTTACGCTCCGGTTTCATATCTGTTACATTCAAGGAAATGTTTCATTCAACCGGATATTGAAAGCAATTATAATTATTCAAGTATTCCAAGCAGCCTTTTTCTTGTTCGTACAGATGTCGTTCAAATTTTTGATCCCTTAAACCATAAACTCCACTGGGTTTAATGGACCCTATTTTCAATTACTCTAGCATTGCTGGGAGCAATAAGAATAATGTTAGCACCCACCAGAGGTAGACGTTTGACTTAAGTTTCTTTACACCAGGTTCTAATGAGTGGACAAATGGATGGAGAGCATGTGATAGTACAACAAAAAGTAAAAGACCTATTAAGTGACCCCCCCCCCTCCTACTGACCCATCCCTATTTCCAGAAGGGGAAACATACAATTTCAGCGGTTGCTTCGAAATTATAAGAGAAATCCTTATTGGATGCATGTGTTGTGTGTTCTTGGCGATAAGGCTAGCGATGGTTGATACTGAGACATCTAATAGTACCATAATCTAGAACCGAAGTATTGTCAAACTTCCTGGTATAGCATGTCAGTATGTTACGATTCATCCTTGTGTCCACACAGGCCCACATTCTACTCAGCACCACTTCAATACGCTGGGGAAAACAGCAGCCTAGTTCGTGCGTTCAGATCCCAGGAACCCCCCAAAATAGAAGGAATAACAGGAGAAAAATCTAGGGTAGGCAATGGGTGCTTGATCTCCACCTTTTGTTGTTGTTGTTATTCTTGTTGTTGTTGTTGCCATTGTCATCATTGCTGTTTTCTCGCATCTCATTTCAATCCTAACATGTCACCCCACGACGCGAGGCGCTTCTCTATAAATTGACAACTATGATTATTATCTTCCCGCGACCACTCATGGCACATGCAGATAGAAGGCATTAACATCCAGGATAAGGACTACTTTGTAATCAAGAAATTATCTTCGTTCTTTATGACTCATTTTCTGAAGGGTGGGAATAACATCGCCCATTTTCTGTACTGACATAGTTATATTTTATGAAAGTCCTTGAAAGGGAAAATGTGAGAACAAAGAAACCGAAAGAGGGCTATGAAGACGGAATGAGGTATAAAGATAAATAATACATTGTGCCAGAACTGCAAACGTATGGAAACCGATTGTTTTCATTCCTCCCGCCCCCCTTCCCTCTGTCAATCTGTTATCATATGTGTGTGTGTGTTTGCACCCGCCCCCCTCAATCTCTCTCTCTCTCTCTCTCTCTCTCTCTCTCTCTCTCTCTCTCTCTCTCTCTCTCTGCTTGCACGAGACCATGCGGAACGCTTTACCAGCTCATCTACGGGAGTCTACCCCTAAAGCAACATTTAAATCAGCACTTAAAACGCATTTGTTTCAGTCCAGTTTCAATCTGTAATTTCCGACATTCCCAATACTAACAAATATTATTATGTTCTCTCAGTATCTGTTATGTTCTCTCAGTTTCGTTTATTCATGCTTTTCTGTTCTGTAAGAATTTATGACTGTGAATTCATCAATGTGTGCGAGGGCGTCAGGGTAAGCTTTGTGGGATCGTCTGTACTCAAGGATGTACTGGA